GTTGCTGCTCTTTTTGTAGCTCTTTTATAATTGTAAAAACTCCTACATGAGATTGACCAACCAAGTATTCCCATCGTTGATGTCAGGCTTCTGCTACATTTTGTGTTCGAGGAATTCCTAATTCTATTGAATCATATACTGACCACAATTGTGGTAAAAAAAGAGGAGCTGCACGAATAATATTACCATCCCTCAATTGGCGCCTAATTCTTCTATGCACATAATTATGCTCAAACCATTGCACTACTTCATTTGCCTCTGAAGGCATTTCTTGCTTCAATATATTAAATCCTTCTGGAATTTCGTATGATGGTAAAAATGCTAAAGCAAATATATGGCGTAACATTATACTGAAATGCTCATCATTACCATATCGAACTGCCAATCCACAAAATTGTATTTTTCGCCAGCCACTTTGTCCTAAGTGAAAAAAACAACCTCTATTACTAGCATTAGGAAACTCTCTACTTGAAGCATTAATTGCTGCTTGTTCAAAGTCAGTAATAATTCTCGAAGGTTGTATTGAATACCATTTTCTCCAGCAAAATCAACTAATTCTTTAAATAGAGTTTTATAAAACCCTTCAGACTTACTAGTCATTAATGCATAAACTAATGGAAGAATTCTGGAATTATCTTGTACACCAACAGGTGCATGTATAGTATATAGCTGATAAAGATTGTTGGAACAGTTTTGAAAGTTCCATCCATCATCCAAAAAAATGCATGAGATAAGCGTTGAATGTTAGCTTTTGTAGTAAATAAAAGAAGTCGTTCTTGGTTAACATTACAATTTCTTATTAAAATAGATCACCATCCAAAGTATATTGAAGTGAGTCTGAAATATTAATATCATCAATATTTTGTGGTTCCATTGGCATTTCTGCTTTTCTAATATGTTTAATTATTACACGAAGTGCATTACGTGATAGCATATAAGGATAGGTCTCATTCGAAATATTAACAGCAGTATTTTGAATAATTTGTGCAGGTTTATCACTAGTTTCATAAGCTTGTTTTTTAATTTGACCAATAGCTTTTGCTACAACTGAATCACTAGCTTGAGGTAAGTAATGATGTTCAATAAATTTTTTAAGATAATGTGAATCATTAATAAATGTAGTTATTGCTTGACCTTTACAATTTTCTAGCTTCCTTTTTTTACAAACACAATAAAATATATCCTTAAGTGCTATATCCTTTAGCATTAGATAGCCATGAACATTAATCTTAATATTTCCTTTTTGTGATAGAACGCCTTCACAAATTTCTTCCATTTTTTAAAGTAGATTTTGTGATTAAAAAAGCAAGAAAATATAATTACGAGAAGTCAATAAGAAAGAAGTGGTGAAGAATCAGATGAAATCAGGAAATTAAAAGCTGAGAATAACAAGTCTATATTTAAAAAAAGCTTAGCAATCAAACTTTTACAAATATGATACATAACACGTATTACATCACATGCATCACATGAATCACAAAACTCATGTTTCTTAGAGATATTATGAACATTATTATATATTTTATGAAATATAAAAATTATAAAATGATAATATATAAATTAGGAGGATTCAATAAAGGAATAATAGAAATTACATAATTTATGAAATTAGGAAAATCTCACGAAGTTGTATATATAATTAATTTTAAAATTTATTAAACTACACAATTTAATCAATATTTTATTGTTATTATTACATTTTAATAAAATGATTTTGAAAAAACTAGGAAAATAGATTTTGCAGAATACTGTAATATATGAAATTTTGTGATTTCAGAAAATGTGATCAAACCTAACTGATTCTAAACCTGACCCTAAAACTAATCCTAAATTAACCCTAAACTAGCCTTAAACTAACTAATCCCAAACAAATTCTAAACTAATCTCCCTAAACTTACACTAATTTAAATCACACTTCGGCATTATATTATTTTAGGATTTCATAAATTTCTGAATATTGATGATTTCGGAAAACTGTATTTTTCGGTAAAACGTGATCATCAGAACTTCATCATTTCAGAAAAACGTTATATTCGGAAAATAGTAATTTCAAAAATCTAATGTTCGAATATATATCATTTCAGAATTTTGAGTTTCGGTATTTAATATGGAATCTGTATATTTCATCATGACAAGTCTGCATTTGCAGAATCTGAATTAATAATAATGCATGAAAGATTAGAACTTCACATATAAAAAAAATGTGTACTGATTTTGCAAATTTAGATGTAAGTTTCCTATAATTTTCAAAAGGAGGTGTTTTGCAGTTTGGAATTTTTTGTATAGATCTTTTATTTTTTGATATTTTTTATTTATCGGTAAGACGAAAAGTAATATAGTAGAGTCAAAATGAGTATGTACTTTTCATACTTAATTTCTATTAATGTTGTATGTTAAAGTTAGGTTAGGTCAAATAAAAAAAGCTCAGATCATGTAATTATATAATAATCTGTCATATTTGTTAAATTGTAAGAAAAATAATTATAAAAAGCCATCTATCTTTTTTTATTTGA